TTTTGAGACCAGGTCTCACTATATAGTTGAGACTGACCTGGAACTCACTGTGTAGCCCAGGCTGGTCTCAAACTCACAGCGATCCTCCTGCCTCAGCCTCCTAAGTGCTCCACCTTGCCCGGCTGGCATCCAATATTATCCAGTGTGATCTGGTGACATCAGGACTACTAGCAGAGCTGCATGTTTTTTTTGAAGCAGTCTCACTATGTAGTTCAGACTGGCCTTGAACTCACTGTGTAGCCCACCAGGCCTTGAACTCATGGCAATCCTCCTGCCTCAGACTCCTGAGTGCTGGGATTACAGGCATGTGGCATCACAGCAGAGGTGCATTTTGCCAATTCATGATTTTCATCTGAATTGAGGAAAAGAACCCTAGGCAACACTATGTTCCTTTGGTAATGAAGGACACCTGGTAAAATGAATACACCACTCCTTGAATTATTTCATCTCTTTTATTTCAAAAGAAGCAAGGACACCCAAGAAATGGAATGAAGCAGCTAAGAGCAGCAAGGCAGCCAAGTAAAAAAGCAGAAAGATGGATTGGCTCTTAGGGAAAGTTGGTCAATACAAACCCATGGTTCTGCAGCTGCACCTAGATCAGAGTCCATCAGTGACAGGGCTCCCCTGGTGAGAGCTAGTTACGTGCCCAGACCAGTCAGGCACATCAGCTCTTAGAGCTGCTGGAAGGCACTGTATTGGGCAGCAGGCGCAGCTGTCCTACAAAAATACTCCTTGGTTGGCACCCAAGAGCACTCTCCTTTTCATACTTGAGAAACACTGGTTCAAAGCTTAGTTGGTTCTATTCACATCTGGGTCTTTCTTGTCTTCTTAAAAGCAGATGTTGGCGTCAATGATGCTTCCTGACAGTGAATTCCTATTTTAGTTACAGTATATTGATTTAACACAAGTTTCAAACAGTTTCCTTTCTATAATTATTAGAAATAATCATAAGGCAAAAATTCCACGAGGTAAACTATATGAGGATATGTGTGCATATTAGATGATTTCTAATTATCAGTAGTTTTCTGCACATTCAAGTCTACTTTAACTGTTAAAAATGTGACTACAGTGCACCCTGTGGGGAGAGGGCCACCCTAGTGCATGAATTGCAGGGTTTGTCTTTAACTGGGAAAACAGACCTGCACAATCTTTCAAGGGTGTGCATGTACAGTTCTAGTTCTACAGTTGGCAACAAAGCAAGATTATGAGATCCTAATTCCAATGTACGCAAAGCCCCATCATTTGGACCACTAGAAATCTCATTTCTCTATTGTGTTAACAGTAGTCCACGTTTTTGGTCTATTAATTGGTATGCCTACAACCAGAAATAAAACATTCTCTCTCCGTAGCAGAGTATGTGGTTCTTCAGCCAGAGAAAGTATCACTGACCGCCTCAGCCTTCAATAAAACCACCAACACCTTCCTGCCATTCGTTCCCATGCTCATCCTGATTCCCCAAAAGGGTCAGAAAACACAGTGACACCGTCTCTGCCAAGCAGAGGGCACTGGAGCCTCCTCCAGGGGCCAGAGAGCCAGGCATGGAAACTTTCAGGGTACAACAAAATGCCAGAAGAGATCTATGAAAAAGTTAGTGCTACACTGAGTGCATTAGAAGTATTTCGCATCAACTGCAGAGGTCTCAAGAGCTTTCTTACCAGCTCATTCTTGTTAGAAATATTTGATTTACCCCCAAAAGAAAAACATGTCATTTCCTACTGACAGAAATAATGCCTCAACACATATACTTTCAAGAACCAAACTAAGGGGTTAGCAAAGCAGAATGCAGCTTACAATGTAAGGCCTCCCGCTCCGTCTCGGCCTTGCCCTGTCACCCATCTAACAAGAAGCTGCTGGATTGGAACCAGTACCAGAGGAACGGCTCTGCAGACAAGGGTGGCAGAAGGAAAGATCAGCACTGTCCCTTTTCTCCTTTTGAAGATGGCAGTGACAGAGTAAACAGCACAGAGGCTGGGGACCCAACACTGCTGAGCCACACATGCCCAGAAAAGGGGCCCTTGCACAGCACCTGCTTGCTCCACAGGGGCTGATGGGGAACAAACAGCTCCTGTGACCTGTGACCTTGAGGACCTTTGGTCCTTGCACATTCCGATTGTAGCAGCTCCACCCAGAGGTTCCATTTTTCACTAAGGCTGCATTCACTCTGGGCTCACAGCAACATTCACAAGAGCTCTGGGGCTGTGGCTGAGGTGCGGAGCTGGCTCGAGGCTGCATGAATTCACCCAGTGCAGGTAGGCAGGCGGGTGGGTGAGGTCAGTCCAGCACCCAAGTCAGGTTCCAACACATAAAGCTGGGCAACAGAATAGACCAGGTTGGCACAGGACTCAGCTTAAGCTGGTATTTCTGACCTAAAATGAGGCAAAAACTGTTTTTTAAAAAGTGCCTTACATAAAAGGGGCGGGGGTCTCAGAGGTTCCATAGATGCAACCAAAGAATATGGAATATCAGATGTACTAAGGGAGCAAGTTTTAAAAAGTTTTCTGTGGGCTATTTATTTCACTGGTAACAATAGAGTAATTTAAAAAATTCTGTGGCACTGGGGCTCAAACCCAGGGCCTTGTGCTATACCCCTAGCCTTAGAGTATATTTTAAGTATAAGGCAAGAAACTGTTTTCTGTTCCTGTTTCCTTTAGTGGAAACTTTTGGACCTTATGGAGAATTAAATATCCCTCAACACAAACACCTATCAATGTTAATTTTCTTCTGGTTGCTATTTCCTGTGCAACCCAACTGCCTGTCCACTAGAATATTCTAACCTTTCTTGGAAGAACTCAGAACATTATTGCCTTATATTACATACACACTTTTAGAATATAAAAACATCTGCTAATAAAACTTGAGAATCAAAGGGAACCAGTTAAATCAGACTTACAACAGGATAAGCTATAAGGATGCCTCTTCTATAAACCAGTAGGAGATAAGAGCAAGCTAACAGCTGTCCAATGAAGTATGTATCTTCCTTAAACCCTTTCATTTAAATGAAAAGCTGTCTTCTCTCAGGCCTTGGTGAGAAAGGCTGGTTTTAGGGGCTGGTTCCTGGGCACACCCAGTTTATACTCTAAACCCAGGCACGCAGTGCGCACTCCGAGTGGTGTCCCCTCCTCCCTGCGCCAGTCCTGCTCATCTGCTAGTGATGGGCCTGCGGGGTTCCTGAGTAATAATCCCCAGGTCCCACAATGGAGGACGTCCGTGACCTAGAGGAAGAGCATTCCTCCTCCGCTCTTCACCCACATCGCTTCAGATTTCCAGAGAGAAACCAGTCAGTGTAGCAGATTCTTCTAACTTCTGAAGCCATGGCGACCAAGTCATTTCACTGTTACTTTACTAAAAATAGCTACCAAGAACTGTTTATATGTCAGCAGTTTTTGCATTTACCTTTCCAAAAGGCTTTTCCTTCTCTGTGACTTGACCTTCACATTCCACTGCTGCCTGTCCACCACAACCTGCGCATTATCAGTGCCGGGACACAGCAGGCCTGCACCAGAGTCCAGCAACACTGGGCTCAGGTGGCATGTCTTCTTGCGGTTGATGACTTTCCAGATACGTTTACACTCACAGAACACTTAATTCTTACACATAAGTATTCTCTACTCGTCCTTAGGCAGTCCGAGGCGCCCGTAACAATTTTGTTCACTGTCACGGAGATTCCTCTTCAATGCCTCAAATTTTAACTGCAGAAGCATTTTGTAAATGGCTTTCAGTAAAGCCAGAGCTATTAAGTATCAGTAGTTTCTTATCCTCAGGATCCTTTTTCATTTTCTTAGAACTTCAGGGAGATACAGATACTAATTCACCTTCTTATTAAAAACTCAAAAGGAACCTTCTACAAGAAACAGGCTTAGGGCCGGGGATTTAGCTCAGCGGTTCGGAGGCTCTCCAAAAAAAAAAAAAAAAAACCCAAAAAAAAAAAAAAAAAAAAAAAAAAAAAAAGAGGCTTACAGTAGAAGTGAATTCCAAGTCTGTATTTAGGAAAGAATTTTACTACAGCTAAAAGGAATCAGGAGCTCTACAGCATTCCTCCTACTTTGCTTTATCTAGTTTCATTTTTTATGCTAATAATCAATAGAATTTAAGGAGTAATGGTGCTACAAAGTATGATGGCTACAGAGGAAAAGCACTCACACTTTCTAAGAGTCATTCTCCAGTGGCACTGAAAGTATACATACAACTTAAGACATAAAATTTGTGGCTAGGAAAAATTTAAAAGGTTAGCATCTGTTCTTTTTATTTTTTAGTAGTGAGGATTGAACCCTGCCACTGAGCCATAACGAACCCATTTTTGAATGGGAAACAATTTTAGTTTATAACAAATGTTCCGATAGATACATGAAGAGAAGCACAAATCTGAGCAGGAGAAAAATCGGCTGTTTTTTTTTGTTGGGGGATCAGGGATCAAACTCAGGACCTTGTGCTTGCCAGGCAGGCACGGGTGCCACTGAGCTAAATCCCTGGCCCTCAGGTGATATTTTTTTTAAAACCTTATGTTCCACAATGTCTGCAAATGTGAATGACCGGGTAGGAAAAACAAAGTCCACAGTACAGGAGAAGGTAATGGAAGGTAAGAGAGGAAAGCTGGGGTCTGGTGAAAACAAGGGAGCTGCTGAAATTCCAATGAAGGCCTTAGAATTTTTAAGTGGAACTCTAAATTAAAGTTCTGCTGTTCGTTATGTAGAATTGGTTCTAAGAACTCAGCATGACGTATAAATATTATGTAGATTTTATATTTAGAACTACTTGATAATGTCCTGTAATTACAAGTTCTTTACACTGCAAACTATTCGAAGAAAATTTAACTGCATAAATGAAGTATCTGAAATGTCACAGAACAAATATGGAGTAAAATAAACATTTACACCTATCTTGACTCTTAAAAACCTGTGTAAGTTCGGGTGTTAGAAATTATGAAAATTTAGTTAAGGAACTTCAGTTAGGGAACCCCTTACAGTTACTTCAAACAAGCAGCTGGTATATTATTCTCTGTGTACATTAGTTAGTATTCCTAACTTTTAATAAATCTTTAAATAGTAATGTTGTATGCAAACTTTAAGTACTTAAACCTTGGTTTTCTTTTCTTTACCTACAATATAACTTATTTTAGAACAAATTGTGTCAGATTGTATCAGTTTCACAAACAAGCAACATGTATATACTGTGATTTTATTTCAATCGCACAAACGAAGTTAGCATGTAGGAAATTTAAATGTAACAGTTACGGTAAAAATAGCAGAAAACTGAAAAATCTACAAAGGAAAATATACCTAAAGCATGAAAAGTCAACATTCGTTAGTGTTTCATCTTCAGTTCTGACACTTGATGCTCGCAAATTTTTAAGCAAACTTTTAAATCATGATGACTGTTCTGAAGAGATTTCAGCACCAGCACTAGGATTTGTACATTCAGTTTGCAGCTGACTTGTTAGCCGTTTACAGAGTGTATAGTACAGATGTGTCACAGGTCAGATCACAGTGATGAGGACAGCAGTACCTTCCTGTAACTAGAAGGGATCCCCGAAACTGTACTCAGCTGAAGACATTCAAGTACAATAGCACAAAGCCATCAGAATAATGTAGTTCCGAGGAACACAGTTTGATAGGAAAATAACTTAAGCATCATCTGTTTCTCATTTTCATCACTGAAATCTCTAAACATGACGTGACTGTCATGTATATCGGCAACACAGCAAATGTGCAGAGTAATTCCATCAAACTTCCTGGAAGGAACACACTGGGCGCCTGGTAGGATGTAGAACGATGGACAATGGAACATAACTCAACACTGGTTTTGTGATTTCACACAGAATTCATGTTAATGTTAGACCAAGGCACAAATGTTCAGTGCATAAACCAGCTTCTTTTTAAGATTTAGCATTTTATTTTAGCTTTTTATCTCACTTTGGATCGCCTGTACCCAGTACTCTACTTACTGTAGACTACTTAATTTACCCAAGAAAATCTAAGGTGAATTTCTGGCCAGATTTATAGAGGGCATGAATGCTTATATTGTTGGAGTGTCTACATGACCCCAAGTACAGTAATAGAGATGAAGATGCCCCGTTTCTTTTAGAGAACAGTAATTTATAAGCTTGCTGCATGTGTAAAGCCTTTACTACAACTGCATGACAGTGAGCACTTGACAGAAAGAAGAGCTGCACCTCGCGTTACGACAGCTCACCCATCACAAAGTTTCCACAGAAACAAACTATCTTAACAGGGAAGAAAATCCTCTCACCCAAACTTTTCTGTAGTGGAAATGACTGCACAGGGGCGTCATTTAGAAAATAATGCTATCAACAAGCTCTGTTTCAGGCCTGGGACTTATAAAATCTAGAAAGCAGATGACAGTGAGTTATTTCACCAAAATTTTAGTAAAAGTTCCAATAATCGAAAATTTCAAAGCAAATATGGCACATAACAACTCAAGCATAAATCAAGATGGAGAGCCTGAAGAATCTGATTTCCTAAAATTTTCTAAAAAATTATCTTTGCAACATAAAGGACTTCTCCCCTTTTTAAATCTTACTGGTTTTAGAGAAGAGGGAGTGTATCATGCACACAGCACGTGCACTTGTGCACACCCACCCACACAGCACAGGGCGGTGACAGAGTACTTATGCCTGGCTTCGTTTATTGAAATTGCAGACTCCTCCCCTTGGATTCCCTTCACCCAATGATTTCTGTGACTTTAATTGCTGTCATCATCATCATTTCTTGTATTTCAACATAAAATCCAAAAGCACCCTCGTGCCAGACTGTGTGTCTGAATATCTGTGTCACTGTCAGTGATGGTGACACCTGAGTGCCACAGTGAGATACGATTCACATGAAGCTCAGATTCACGTTTCAGACTGTTGGAGTTACTGGTTAGAATACAAATAGCTAAAGACATGATGTAGTAGATAAGTACTTGGTTTTGTTAACATATGTACCAATTAAAGTCACAAAATAGTCCTCATTACAATTCATGCAGGTAATTGAGAAAAAAGTGCAGAAATTAACTTTAAATAAAAAGTTATTCCTTCCCTTCCTCCCACTCCCCTATACTCTACAAAATGATTTCCCTGGGACTAGGCCTCGAAAAAGCCACTACATATTAGTGTGACATGCATTACCGTCTGCAATTAAAAAAGCTAACCTTGTGGTGACTGTAGTTAGATTATAAAAATGCCCACATGCATAAATCTAAAAAAGGCTGAAAACCTACAGTAAATCTACAATATTATTGTTTTACATTTGACCACTGGTTGTGTTATGTAGAAGTCATAGATTTGGTAAAGCATTGTAACAATTTAGGAAGGCATCTAAATCTTTAAATTCTGGACAAATTTTATGTTTTAAACTACAAAATTGCATGAAGGCTAACTTGAGAGACTTCCTATCATTCTAAAATTCCTTAAGCTGGACCAATCCTTTTCAGGACACTTTCTTACGAATGTCATTATTTGAAAGCATATACCATTCCACGTGTTCCACATTTTATGATCTTAACCTATACACAGGCTGATCTCAATTAATCATGGAATATCAAATATGATAGGAAGACAGACCTGAGAGAAACATTTACAACAGCAGAATTTGCTAACTTCTTCATCACTACTCTCTGAAAAAGAACTCCATAAGCCTTTCTCCATATTTTAGCATTGGGCTGTATAAAATGTGTGGCTCAACATGAAAATATTTCAATGCAAGGTGTTCTTGTCTAACAGACGGGCTTCGTATTTTCTGTGCAACTGTTAGAGGAACTTGTCCACCATTCATCCATTCTGTGGGAAAAGGTCAGAGAAAAGTAGCCAGCGGGGAGGGATGGCGATCACAGAATCACAATGTCTGAGGCTTTCCGAGGGCGCGGGTTCCCTCCTTTTGACTGCTTGTCTCCATTTTCTTCTCACAGTCACAGAATCATATGGGATTGCTGCTAAAGGTTACTGTTTGTAGGATTTTTCTCCTGTCTAGATTAAAGTTCTCTCTCTCTCTCTCCTTTTGCTTTTCTATGCAGTATTTGACTTGCTCAGTTCCTGCCTAATTGCTGGAAAGAAAAAAGTATTGAAAGTAAATATAGTGATATAGATATGTGACTCATTTTTAAGCAATCATAGGGACTGTGTTAAAATTCACAGAAATAAAAAGAGACAAAGATTTTACATCTTTCTATGTGTACGTCTGTTTTAATAATACAAAGATGATACTAATCCTTATATGTGTTTATATTTGCTGTTTTCTCCCTTTGCACACAAAAAGAGAACACTGGTGCTTAGAGGCTCAAAAACAAGGGGCCTCCTGAGAGATGGATGAGTAGAGATGACTGAAAGGAAAACCTCGTTTGCCATCTAATAACTTGTTCATCCCTATTTTTACAAAGGATTTCCATTAATAAGGGAGAACTCCTCTCTGACCTCCTAAGTCAAACCAAGGGCAGGATAATGTGAAAAAGTAATTGCTGTCAAGTAAAACAGTATCTCTTTGTCTACATTTTCTTAAAAATGGCAGCTCACACCAGTATTTTAAAAGGGTAGGAAATTCGCTCAGACACTTACCATCAATGAGCTCTTCCTTTAGTTTTGTCAATTCTTTTCTCATTTCATCTAAAATGTCCTAAAATATCACAGAAAAACATCAGGAAACAAAAGTTCCTCACTCTGATAGAATTCTAACAATGCTGTAAAACATGAACACTATTGGCTTCCAGGGTTCTAATTCTATTTCTTAGAAGACTGGGCTTGGTTTAATATTTCTCTCTTCCTAATCTTTGCTTATTCTACCCTAGCGAAATAAGAAACAGAACACTTTCTAAAACTACAGTAATTAATTATTCTGCTGTCCAGGGAATGGTATGATTCAGAGTTTCTAGGAAAGGGAGCAGCTCTGTTCTTAACCTGTCTTCTGGCAGCAGCTCAGAGTTGATGGGTGGGGGACACATCTAGGAGGAAGATGCTGCTGGACAAGTGGCTCTGGCAAATGTGCCCCCTGGCTTGAGGTATGGGGTTTCGTAGGAGCTACTGCGGCTGCCAAACCACATCTCAAGGAGTGGAGGTTCCCTGTAGGCCTCGGGGCTCCCCAGGGGCTGAGACAGAGCGGAGGGGTGGGAGCACCTGACAGTGGCTGCTCCAAAACAAGGTGTGCTGTGCAGACTGCAAAGACAGCATGAGGGAAATAAATAAAATAACTCATTACAATTTCAAAGTGCTGGCTTCATACTGACGTGATTTTATCAAAATTGATTTCACCTGCGTGGTGTTTTAAACTACTGCAGAAGTTAAAATACAGATGTGACCCATATTATATTTCCACTGAACAGTATCACTGTGGGCCTCCTCCAGGGAGGGTGCATTCGGGGGTGTGAGGGCCATTACAAAGTGATCATTCTTCTTCTCTGCGGCGCTCAGGATGAACGCAGGTGTCTTGTGCTTGCCAAGTAGGTACTCAGCCTGAGGCATACAATTTTAAGGGTTAAAAACCACAGCCAACTTTGGAAGAATTAGGTTTAAATTGTGTGCCTTTCTGTAATATTGTGCAGCTTAATTCAATTGCTCTGTGGAGGTGAAAAGAAAAACTTTTCACGTAGAAAGTGAGGTGGCAACTATCAACTTGCCAAATTCCTCCATTTACCAGTGAAGAAATTGAGACAGGTAAGTTACTGTGTGGATTAACAGATGCACTTACTCAGGCTAATCTTTCAATCATTCCAAAAGCCAAATCCAGGGGCTGGGGATTTAACTCAATGGTGCAGCCACCTGCTTTGCAAGCGCAAGGTCCAGATTTCGATTCACAGTACCAAAAATACCCCAAAACACCCCAAAACCAAATCTATTCCTTTTCCTATCCCCATTAATCAGTTACCATATGTACAAATGTGTGTGATTTTCTGTTTTAAAGTGTGTTTTGCTCAAGGCTGGTGTGGAGGCGTACACCTACAATCCCAGAATTTGGGAGGCTGAGGCAGAAGGACTGCTGTGAATTTGACACCACCCGGGGCTACATAGTAAACCCTATCTCAAAAAAACAAAAACAAAAGTGTTCTCAAGAAAAGAAAGCCGTCATTAGTACATGTAAAAGAAGAGTTAATGGGTTGGGGATTTAGCTCAGCGGTGCCGCCACCTGCCTTGCACGTATGAGGTCCCGAGTTAGATCCCCAGTAGCAAAAAGAATTAATTATCAATAACCACATACTTCCTTATAAATTATATAACTTAATTTTTCAAATAGCTTTACTGTATAAAAATTAGGTTTACTTAAAAAAATTACATCACTGCTTGTAGAAATACGATTAAAAAAACTTGCAACCTTATCAACTATTCCTTATTTATATATCAAATATAATGCACATATAATCAAAATGTGAACAGTATCTTTTTATTCTATGAAACTGAGACAACTGCACGCACTCAATTTCATTACTTGTTTCACCTAACATGGGCAAGTGCTCACCAGTCACTGTTAAAATACCGCATTATAATTTCTTAGGGGCTGCAGAACCTATATCCCTTGCTTTGGGAAGAGTTTTTTTTTTTTTTTTTGGTAACGGGAATCAAATTCGGGACCTTGTGCTTGCAAGGCAGGTGGCAAAATCACTGAACTAAATCCCTGGCCCTTTCCCTCACTTTATATTTGTATGCTTTTACAATATTTTACATAAATTTTATTTACATAAGTTTCTTGAAGTGAAATTTCTGAAGCCAAAGCTTTTGATCTGTTTTTCTACACTCCTTCTTGGAAACCAGAAGTATATGAGGTGCTCAATCCCTCTCATTTGTACCAAAATCAGATTTGTTAAATCCATTCTGCCAATACAGTTAGAAAAAAGTGAAAGCTGCTGTTTTTCTGCAAGGGCAGACTATGCACTTGTACAAGATGCCACACTCCACTTTCCACCCAGCTGGACCTTGGTGTGAACTCACTGGGCAGAAATGAAGACTTGAAAAGAGTAACACAGTATGCATGCCACTGCTTAACTTATATAAAAATATTTTTACCGTGGGCTTTTTTTTTTTTTTTAAGTTTTGAGGCTTGAACCCAGGGCCTTCTCACAGAACTACATCCCTATTCCTTTGTTGTTCAGTGACAGGATCTTGCTAAAATTGTCAAGTCTCGCAGGCTAGACTTGAATTTGCAAACTTCTTGCCTCAGCCTCCCAGAGTGCTGGGATGACCAGTGTGTAACACCATCCCTGGCTAAGTCAATGGTCTTTTAAAGTACGTTCAAGATGCACGAGGCACTTTTAAAAGAGCAGTGTCTAAGATGTAGGGAAGCTGCACCGCACGCCCACCTGCTTCAGCCTGTCGTAGTCAAGTCCTTCTGCCTGGACGCCATTGGCACTGGGCTGTGACGAGGGTGTAGATTTTGGTCTGTACGAATGAAAATTGCAGGATAGGTAAATGATACTTACGGTATCTAATGAGTTCATAGTTATAAACTTACCAACCCAACTCCAGACTTAAGTAACTCCCATAGCTGTTAGATTGATTGGAACAGAAAACAAAGTATTTTTTACTTATCTCATTATTTTAAGTTATTTATAGAGAAACTAGAAATGGTGACAAGGTGGCGAGACTTCTTTGGCTAAGAGGCGAAGATGGCATGGCTTTGGGCCTGAGGCCGGTGACCATGACTGTGGCAAAGAGGCCAGTGGACACTTCTGACACCCAAATAACACAACCTTGTTTTCTCCTTTTTTTTGAAGTTTTACATTGTCTATCAAACACCCAGCAAATCACAGAAAGGAAAGTATAAAGATTGGGATATTTTTGTCTAACACGAATCAGTTTACAAATTTCCACATATCAGAAGAAAATATTTTACTAAACACAATTTCTCTGTATATATTTTATTCTATGCCAAACATTAAAATAACCGAGAATGTTGAAAAATGATTATTAAGCAGAACTATACTCATATCTAATTGGCTATTTCACTATGAAGGTTTCATGGAAATATTGTGTGAATGGCGTGCTTCAGGCTCACTGCTCCATAAATTTGCTTTGCTTAAAAAAAAAAAAAAATTGCTTCTCAGCCTTTTGGCTAAGATCAAGTATATAAAAAAAAGGAAATGCAGACAAAAGCAGATTATCAATTATTATTATACTCCAGTGGTTGAACTTGTATCAAAATTTTTACAGAACAAAATGTGTTGGGATTAAGTTTTTATTTTGAGACAGGGTCCTGGCTCTGTAGCCCAGACTGGCTCTTAACTCCAGCTCCTCCTCTTTCAGTCTCCCAAGCGCTGGGGTAACAGGTGTGGACTATCATACCTGGCCGAAGGATTAGGCATATTTTATGATGGGTTTTTGGTTTTATTTTGACATGGGCTCACTATGTAGCCCAGGCTGGTCTCAGAATCACAGCGATACTTCCGTCTCAGGCTCCCGTGAGCAGGGATTCCAGGCGTGCGCCACCACACTCATCTAGGATTTGGCGGATTTTAAAGGAATACTTCAAACCAAATAAACTAGTAATGGCTTCTTCTTCAGTTCTTGCAATAAAAGAAAATCCTCAGTGGAAAACCTACAGTTAATTGGGTTCTTCTATTCTCTAGCTTAGTATACTAAGTAGCCACTCTTTAAGGGCTACTAATCAATATAATTTTAAACTGCTAGTCAGATAACATACTTTCAACTTTGCAGTGTAGCAATGTCAGAAATCCAAGTCAAGGCCCAATGTGTAGAACTTTTCAAAAGTTTTAATTTCATAATCCCTAAGACATGTAATACTTTAAACCCACAGGCATCACTCATGAAGATAAAATACTGAGCCAATCTGCTTTAACAATGAAATGTTGTTGCTTAAGATTATTATAAAGCAAGCCAACCAGTTTTATTTTATTAGGTATATGCTTATATGAACTAAAGAAGATACTAACTTTCAGAAATCATTGATGTAAGTACTGAGCAGGGCACTAAAGGGGAGGGGAGGTTTCTGGGGAGCCTTCTGAGTGAGGACATGCACACGCAGCTGAGGGCCCAGCAGTTCTGCAGGTCCACACTGTGATTTCACATACTCATGTCTATGCTTGCTCTCCAAAACTGAATTTTAATTACTCTGCTTTCTTTTACTTTTTCACATTTAAATGGTGTAAGTAACTAGTTATTTTTTCCTATGCTATATAATAAATAACTCTGAAATTCATGCTATAATCAGCTATAATCTGCTACTTAACTGTGCCATATGTTCTGAATATATATCCATATTTAATAAGTAATTAAAAACTGTTATATAATTAATAACTCCAGAGACATGCAAAATTTAAAAAACTTAATTCATGCTAACATGCAATCCATCACCACCACCACCACCACCACCATCACCACCACCACCACCACCGTGAGAATTGACTCAAGGGGGGAACTTTTCATACTGAAGGAAAGAAGTAATCACCACTTTTTTAAAAGGAAGTTTTCAACATTACCCTGGGGACACTAAGTGCAAAAGCAAGAAGGTAACTGAGAAGATCTCTTTGTTCTAGCAAGGTTTCTTAAATCTTTTGTTCACAACAATCTACCCCAAAGAAAGTAGAAACCATTCATGACTGCAATATTAACATTTTATGGAGATTTAACTGGTTAACAAAAGAAACTTATCAAGCATTCTGGTAACCAGTAGCATGAAAATAACCTGAACACATCTGACCAGAGTCTCATGACAGAACACCTACCTACTCAGTGGCACTACTGAATTCAAATGATCAGTAGACTTGATGTGTATTTCACAAAATAGATGCATATATGAGACCATGGCTATATTTCAGTTATTTTAAAACTATGGGCTTTCTACATAATCAATAACAAAATATGTTGGTTTCCCAGAGAATTTTACTCCTTCATGAGTAGAAGGGTGGCCTATAGGTACCCTGCTATAAAACTGTGGTACACTGCCAAAATTCCTATTCTGTCAAATTAATTCTATAAACAGTTGAAAAGCACTTGAAGGATTTTTTTTTTTTTTAATTAAGAGAGGGGAATAGATGATCTATACTTTCAGTGGGGAGGGATGGTGTGCTGGGGTAGAACCCAAGGCTGTAAGCATGCTACGCACACTGTACCACTGTACCAATGACTCTCATCCTGTTTTCTTAATTAAAAATGGTACTATAGGACTTATCCTATAAACAACCGCTAAAGACACAATGAGGTTGTTAAAGGTACTGAATCTACTACAATGTATCTAGGAAACAGATTTTCTTCAAATATCCAAATGTGGCTATGAGATTTTCTTGTGTTCCAGTAACAGCAAGCACCAGATCTTCTATCACACTTTTTAAAGGCTTTGTCTCAGAACCATGAAGAAAAACAACCTTTAAAGGAAAATACCAAAGCTATGAACAACCCTAGACAATGCACAGAACTCTGGATTCCATCCTATTATTTCTGATATTTACTACATGTATGGATCCTAATCCAACTATAATGCGATGGTAGGTTTTTGTTTTTATTTAAATGTCAAAGATAAAGCTAAAAATGAAAGACTCAACCTATTAACCAGCTCCCTTGTGGTGATTACCAGTCCAGGTAGAAAAGCTCAGCCCTGTCCTGAACATGTTATTAGAGTCTCAAGTCATAAAGCCACAGCAGGGTGATACCTGTGTAATGAATCATAGGACCTGTTGTCAAAAACAATCTGATTTTTCCTTGAAGAATCCCGTCTATGAAGGGGAAAGACCATTTAAAGGGGAATACAATAGAACTTTAAAATAATTCTAATGGTGTTATTTACTGTTTCACAGGTTTCCAGTTAGAGCAAACAAAACAAAAATTAAAGGATTCCACTCCATTAACCATTTCTCCAATAAAGAGAAAAAATTTTGAAGCTAATTTTAGTTATATGAATATACTGTTTACCTGAAAATTACACAGAATTTTAAAAAGGTCATTATATAACTTACCCCTGTAGGCTACTGGCACAGTAAAACCCACCAAGAGTGTCAAATACACGTTTCTATTACTGTGACTACAAGGCAACAGACTCAAAATCACTGTAGCTTGAAGATTACCCTCAGGCATGAAAAGAACACTGTTTTTCCCATCATGAATACAGTATCTACAAGCACTTAATAAAAATTATAGGAAGAACTCACAAACTTTTCCGTGTTACATTCCAGTCAAGATTCAGAGCATTTTTACAACATTCTTGCTTTTCCTTTCCTTCCATCCTACTTAATACAGCAGAATGCAGTATCCTGTAGATGCCACAGAGCATCAGCTCACCTCAACACCAACATAATTCTGACATGGACAGTCTAAGAAATGGTGCCAAGACTACAGGGCAAGATGAAGTGCACTTAATAAGAACATAAGGTAAGCAACGCACTTGCTTCCCCAAAAAACAGGGGAGATACTTAAGAGTTGTTTAAACATTTCAAAAATGTTTTATAGTTTAAAACTGTAGTATTTTTTTCAATGCATACGTAACGAAACTTTATGACACATATTGGTGGTTGGATCAAATCAATAAAAGGTGTACGAATGGTCAGAAATAAGTGTTTCAGAAGTTCTATTTTGGGAAAGGTGAGGGAAAACATCTAACAGAGTTAGAACATGATTACAAAGATTCAATGAATCTACATAAAAATATTTTCAAAATGGTGACCGTTAAGGCACTTATTAAACTTCCTTTAGAAGTCTAAAAAAAATCTTTCAAAGAACACTATTATTTTACTAAATGAGACCAATAAATCATGTGACAAACTCCATTCAGAGAACTCTCCCATGTCCCTTTCTGAAGCATCAATGCAGCCCTAGCCTGTGGCAAGGTTAAAGTTCCTTCCAATGAAATCAGGGCAGAAAGAACCTCCCATTATAACTTACATAATCAAAGGGCAAATGGCACATCACATTTCTGTTGCTGTATATAGTACTTGACAAATGAGGCTTCCTAATGTACTACTGAGGAAAATCTGTTAACTATTAGCAAAGTGTTAGAAGGTCCCCTCAGTTAGGTGTATGAGAAAAATAAGGAGCAATTTTTGTGCTCTACTGAAAGGTGACGTTCACCAAAAACAATTCCCTTCATTTTCTCCTGAAGTCAAATATGATCATCTTATAGTCACTTAGAAACTGAAAGCTTTAATACATTCTAAAAGGTCAGGTATGGTGGCATATACCTGTAGTCTTAGCACTGAAGAGCCTGAGGCAGGAGGATTGCCATAAATTCGAGGCCAGCTCAGACTACATAGTGAGTTTAAGGCCAGCTTAAGCTACATAGCGAGACTGTCTCATCCCCACCGAGCCCCATCTAAAAAGCCTGCCTTCTTTAAAGATCTTAACTGTGTCATCAAATCTTCTTTACTGCTTGCAGAAAAAAACACACAAAAGCCAAATCCAAGTGTAAACTTAGGCTCACATAGAACAGGTCTGTGACAATATGAAGTCTATTTTTGCTCTTTTTAAAAAATTAGGTTTCTATATTAAGACTTGAGCTTTCTTTTTGCGAGGCCAACATTAAGGCAGGTTTCTCAAAAATAAAACAAACAAAAAACAGGGCAGAAACCCCTTTTAGTCTTTAAATGTGTACCATTTTCTTCCCTTGGGAAAATATAAGCTTTTTTAAACTGTTTCATAAACCAGGAAAAAGTTCTACCCATGACTAAGACCTGCGGCATAAACTCAGCCAATCATCATGAAGTACACCTGTCTGACTGTGCCAATGTCCCAGCCTGCTTGATTATTATCAGAAGTTTCAACTGAGAGCAAATTCAAGCTTTTAAGTTTTATTTTGCTTTCTTATAAGATTACAGCCTTTTTTCTCCAGCTGACTTTCAGTTTAAAATATAAAATTTCTGTCATTCAGACAAATGGGGAAATGTGAATATATATCTGGTATGTAGGAGATGTCCCCATTTTTTGGAAAAATGCTACAATATTTAGGGTGAAGCAACATTTGTTTGAAAACCACTTCCAGACTATTCAGAAGAAGAAAAAAATGTCTTGATATATACATAGTAAGACAAATGTGGCAACTATTAACAACTGGTCAGCCCAGCGTATTTCCTGTATTATTCTTTAATCTCTTCTCTAGTTAGGAGTATTTCAAAATATTGGGAGGTATAAAGCTGCCTTAAAATTTCAGACAATCTAACAAATATAGGATGAATTTATCAGACATCACTAGTAAAATCACAATGGGCTCAGCAGACTGTCCAGTAGTAGGGGGATTATAGGTGTTTCATGAGCTCCTTTGCACAGTTTATAATCTACAACTGGGTATTTTCCTTTTTAGATACATGTTGTATAAAACTTTAAAACAAAACAAAAACAAAAACACTGGTACCTGGAGATGACAGGGGACTTGCTGCCATTCACTGCATTTGCTCTCTCCCAAGGCTTTCTGGTTGGTTCTTCAAAAGCAAAGAACAAATGCATTAAATATCCCTATTGTGTCCTGAGGTGCCATAAAACAAACAACAACATACTATAGGCCCCAGCAAAACACCAAAATACCATTATACTGGTTTATATTGTAGTAATACAGATAAATAGAACATTTTTAATTTAAATTTTAAACACTAAAATTCTAATTTGCACAATTTCAGACCTTTAAGAAATTGAAAAGGAAATTAATAAGTTTTCTTTTAAAAGCCCTTAGATAACTTTTGGGACTTGCAGACCATTCCAACTAAATAAGTATGTTCTCTCCAAATTCTTACAAAGGATTCTGCAGTAACCCACTGGCCAGCATACTGTGCCTTTTTTGCATTGTTTTTGTACTTTGGATGACTTGGCTGGTGTGTCACTGGCCTAAATGAACAATGGAATGAAATCTTGTCTGGGAGGAAAACTTTTTGGGCCACATGAAGATTAAGTGAGATGAGTCGTGATATTATCACATAGTTTTGACTAAGAAGCTGCACTGAGTTTTGATGGAGCCCCTCAATGGGCTTTAAAGTCTCCTCCAAATATGCACATGTAAAATTAAATTCAAATTCCCCCTTGAAACGCCACTTTGTTTCTACATTTCTGCTTCAAGTCAACATCCAGTTGTGAACCTTCAAAGTTGCCACTAATTTTGCTTGACTCCTTATCACTCATGAAATTCTTTTTTTCATTAAACATTTTTATCCTTTTTTTTGTACTCTCTCATTGACACCACAATGGTGCCAAGTTCCAAATTTGGCTGGGGACCACTAAATAATCACACCGTGTCCTGATGGGCAAAATCAGTAACACATCCAACACACCAGCCAGGCAGGTGAAGAGGGAAGTCCTGAACAAAATTAGGCAGAGAGAACAGTCATCAGGATATTGCACCAAAGAGGCAAGTGGAAAGATAAGGTGTAATTCCAGAGGACCAGATGTAGTGAGTGCTACCTAATGGTGGCTGAGGTCATCTGTCATTTAGACAGAGGTGAATACTTTTCACTCTTAAAAGAGCAGAGGGCCGAGACCATTGTGCCTTAGGAGGAGGGATAGAGCTACCTGCTCTGTAGGGCCAAGGTATGAGAACATCTTGGGCAAGGGTGGGGTGCCTCAGGAGGAAAGGCCTCGAGGCTGATTCCCTGCAAAGGCTCTCTGGTAACACACTGGTTCCCTGCACTATGACCTTCCTCACTGATTTCACTAAGTCAGTCCTCCCTGATTCCATGTCACCGTGCTCACAAGTGCTATCTTTCTGTGCCGCCAGCAATTTTAGCTGATGTTAACTTGGCACTTGCACTGTAAAGCCTTAACTGATCTTTATCATGAAGGGCTCTCAAACATTTTTTGTTTCTAATTCACCTTTTCAATTTATTTTTCCAACACACTCCAAAGAAAACTCTTCCCTCTAGATTGCATCTATTTACCACTTCCCAGTCTCTTCCTGCTTTCCTCAAGCATCTCTCTGTTCCTGATGGTAGTCATACCCAACGCTCTACTTCCAATGTGCAGTAACATGTCACCCTTTCCCACAAAGATGGCCCAAGTGACTCAGCACGCTCTCGTCCCTCTCTGGCTGTTACAGTTTGGGTCTAGATATCCCCCTAAAGCCTCACTCAGTTGCACATGGGTGAATCTAGAGAAACTAGAGTGTGTGATGCTGAGATTAAGAACATGTAATTACTAAACCACTACATGTGAGTGATTGGTTTGGCACTACCCTAATCCCAGTAGTCTAAATAAGGTAAGAAGCAGAAAGGCACTGTTAAAAGTCCCTTGTTGGACCGGGGATTTAGCTCAGTGGTTCTGCCGCCTGCCTTGCAGGCGCAAGGACCCAGAGTTTGATCCCTTGTAATGCCCCCCACTCAAAAAAAGTCCCTTCTTGCCTTTGTTACCTTGTGTGTACCACTAACTGTTTTTCCTCTGTGACACCCTTCTCTTGTTGCTTTTGCTGCTACCTCTGCCATGAACTGTTGCTCCTCTGCCACCCTGTCTTGAAGGCAGCCAATTAAGGACTGAAAACTCTATGAACCATAAGCCAAATAAATCTTTTACCCTTTAACTTTGGGTTTGGGTATTTTGTCTCAGCAATAAGAAAAAAGCAACAAACACACTGGCACACCAGCATCCAACATCTGGTCATAGGTGATTAACTTTCCTTTATCATGCCTCAACTGTACTATGAGTTTTCTGCTCAAGACCTCACTTCCTTTTGGCCTATCAAATGCCTGATACAATGTTAGTTAAAAAAACTGAAACAAATAAAAACAGCCACATGCCCTTCTGAATGAATTCTTCATTTTATACATGGCACACACACACAAAACACAAGGCTTAGTTTTTCATATTTGAATTAAGGGGATATGGATTTGGAGTCTGTGGCAAACCTTCAGAGAATCATGAGCAGATCTGTATCCAATGAATTCTCTCTCTGGGAAGAGAATGAGCTACTCTTATCATATTTTAATGATTCAGTGACACTACAGTTTGGTTCAGTTCTGAAGTATCTACAGTCTTAATGACAGTACATATAATTAGTTTTGTAAGAATCCTATTTAAGACAAAAACAAAATAGACTGACAAAGTTAGTTTATAAAGTCACAATATAATTATAATATAAGCAGTCAGACTACTGAATGGTTGCTGTTCAACAAACCCATCAGACTGAGGGATTGTGTGTGGGGATGCATTACAATCACAAAAACAGGGGCCGGGGATTTGGCTCAGTGGTTCTGCCGCCTGCCTTGAAAACTCAAGGACCTGAGTTTGATCCCCGGTACCAAAAAACAAACAAACAAAACAAAAACAAAAGCTTATTTAAAAAAATTTAAAAAAGGAAAGAAGCCGTTTCACAGGTGGCTGGTGGTCTCTAAATTAAAATATGTAATAATTACTACAGACAGTTCTCTATACTGACTTCTTGTGGACCATTCTAAATAGTAACTCACTGAATTGATTTATGTCACTTCATTCCAAAATAAGCAAAGAAGTAAAGAGCCTGGTTTGCAATCTCTAGCCAGCCACACTTCAAGCAGCCTCAGGTCCCATCTTGGATGTACTGCTCTCTGACAGCCTTCGGTCGGGAACATGTATGTGTTTTGTTAATGTTTCCCAAAAGCTTTTAAGAGATTCTTTTTAGCTTATAAATCAGAAGCTTTATTTCCTTGATTATCAACATCACACAAATGGTTAAAATGACAACCACCTCAATTTGAGAATGTTTTGAAATACAATACAGTGCTAGCTAACATGCTCACTTAATTTTTACTTTTAAGAACTATTAAATAAATGACAATAATACACTAGATTTTATAAGTGTGAAAATTATGGTTGTTCAAAAGTTGAGAGAAAAAGTTCGTGTTTTAACAGATCTCACAATATCAGGGACAAAGCAATAGCAGCTTCTGAGATCACAAAAGGCAGAAGAAAAAGGTCAATGTATTCATGTGTGAAAAAGAACTTTAACATTTTAGAGACCAAGCAGTTAGTCTCAATATGGGAAAGGGAAAATTTTTAATTGGAGAATATTACCATTTAGGAAAGCTGACAGAGATTAAAACATTTCTCCTGAACTTACCAGGTGTACTTGTTGAAGAGGCCTTTGAAGCTACCGGCTCAGCATCTTCCTAATGTACAGAAACACATGCATCAGCAACCCCCTCCCCACACCGGGCACCTGCCATGAGTACACTGAGCGTGGGTGCCTCTCCCTTCCTTCCCTTGGATTACACTTCTTGCTCCTCTTCCCAGCATTCCCCTCCAATCCCCAGAGTGCCTAGCCTGATATGTTCTCTTCGAGGACCTTTGCTAGCTACTGCTAGGAAGGCACAAGAGACAGAATAGTTACACATGGAACAGACGGAGCAGTTTGCCCAGCTGGATTGGGGAGGATGGCATGAATGTTTCACACTAAGGGATACAGAAACCTTCCCAGAAGATGGTGCTCACTCATTTCAAGGGGATTTAAGAATGGAATTAACTCCACAAGCTTGATCTTCAGTGCTTTTCCCAAGACTCCACATCATCAACTTGTTTTACTAAGAAAGCCACTATAATTTTATAACCATGTTTCCCCGAAAGTAAGACCTACCCGGAAAATAAGCCCTGGTTGTTACTGTGGTGATGGCCAGAGTCATGCAAAGGACACCTCACTATTCTTTTGTTTGGTGGCCACTCTGTAATAGCAGGTAAGGCAAAGTGATGGGGGCTGGCATTTTTGAACTCTTACTTTTCAACACTGATTATTTTTCTGGTTCAGTTTTATTTTCAGGGAAACAACAATGGATTTTAAATACCTAAATAAAATAAGCAAGTGTAACTGAACTAATTAAGGTCAAGCTAAATAGTCATTGGCTGAATGGGCTGTGTTGGTATCCCACATCTTAAGGTGGGTGCTGGCTTTACTCACGTACACTTTTGTCCTCTTTTTGTTCTGCTTCTATTGTTGATCCCTTTTCAGCAATTCTTCTCCTAGAAAGAAGGCAATTTGGACTTTTTTAAAAAATCATGTAACTCTTAGTATACAATCTCCTTCTCCAAGAGGGAAGGAAGAACTGTATCTAGTTAAGCTAACTTCAGAATAAAATTAAGAAAACCCTCCGGATTATGGGAATGTCTGCTACAGTGAGATTTCTCACCTCCTGGCCAGCAGGGCACTCATTTCTTCCATTAAGCCGCTGCCCCCTAGTGGAAGGGGCCCATTCCCTCGACTGGAGTCAGCTTTGGAGGAGGCTGAGTTCAAGGCAGTGGTATTCCCTCCACTAGTGAAAGAGGCATCCTCCATCTTAACAAGAAGATACACAGGATAATTTCCTACGTTAGTTGTATCAATGTTAATTATTTAAAATATGCAAATATTTTTAGCCTTAAAAATAGTGTTGATTTTATATACCAAAAGTTTTATCAATGCTCACACCACCAGTAATGGGGTGAAACAGTACTGGGCGTCTCCTGGCACGATACACTGAGAAGTACTCAAACTGTCATTCTGCTCCCCAAACACCCAACCTGAATCGAATCATGAGGAAAAAAATCAGGTATGCCAAACTGAAAGAAAAATCTAAAAAATAACTGACAGTCTTCAAAGATATCAGTGTATGAAAGATTGAAGAACTGTCACAGTCTATAATAATGTGGCATTACAACTAAACGCAACAGAAGGCCATGAAAGAAAATTTCCATAAAAGACACTGGAAAGCAGACCTGAACACATTTCAAAATAAATTTGAAAACACTGTTAAATTTCCTAATTTTAATAACTACCCTGTGGACATGTATGTGAATGATCTTGTTCTTACAAAATACTATACATACCAAAGGTTATTTAGGGAGATGAACATGGTATTTATAACATACTCTCAAATCATTCAGACAAGAACTGTGTGTGTATAGAAGGAAACACGCACAAAGAAAATAGGCAAGTGTTGGTAAAATGTTAGCTGGTGAATGTAGATAGAGTCACAACAATTTTTATATGATTCTCGAAACTTTCTGGTATATTTTAATTATTTTGAGTTTTTAATCAATAAGGTTAACAGCATAGGTTCATAAAGTTAAAACTAATAAATCCAGTATTTTAGATATTTACAATAAGACATACATGTAAAAGGCAGTGGTTTGGAAATGCATTTACCCGTGACACTTTCCTAAGTTTTGCTCCTGCAATTGCAGCTGCAAGTCCAGTTAAAGGGCGATTGTCTTCTGACACAGGTCCAGAGAAAAATCCAGCTGCAGGGAGGGGTGGGGCAGGAGGGG